AGCCCCTCAGGCGGGGTTGGGGAGCTCTAAATGGGGTGTCGGGGGGCTGCGTGGAGCCCCTCTGAAAAGGGACCTGAGCAAAGCAAAGGAGCTGCCAGGCTTCTCCAATGAGGCTTGGCTATAAAAAAAAATCTGGTGGGCTATTGTTCTCAGTTCTTCAGCAGCTCTTGTCATTTTACTTGTATTATTTTCTGGTCTGCTTGTTTTATTCAGAGAGAAAAGGCTGCATTCTTCTGCCTAGAAGAAAGCCGCTCGCTCTCTTTTTGTTTCTTGTTTTGGTTCAGTGTCCTTGCTAGTGTGTATGGTAATCTAACAACCTAAAGCAAAAGTAGTCAAAATAAGGCACAACTTGTGTATTTTCTGTGCTTGCTTAACTTTGGGTTATTCACAGGTTCAGAAGAGGGTTAATTCTTCGTGTCTCCTGCTTGGCAGGTCAACTTACCACAACTGTGGTTTGGTGTAAAATAAAGGGCTGTCACAGGCAAACAGATACCATATTAGAAAGATAAAAGTTTTTTCCCCTTTCAGCGTTCTTTTGCATTCAAAATCTCGCTAGAACAGCCCTCTGGGTGCTAAAATTACCTTTCAAGGTCCGATTCCTGTTTGTCTTTAAATATCTGCGGAGTGTCGGTTTTGGAACGAGCTTTGCTCATTTTGTTCTGCCACCTGTGACAGATGCTGCTGCCCTTAAATAAAAGCTGGGCCCTGTTTTGATTTTCAAAACCGAGAAGGGAAGGTTGGTCTTCTGTAGAATCGCCCGGTGCAGCTGGAAAGCACGTGCGGCCCCCGGTACTAAAAACTTAGAAGTGTTAATGCGAAAGCAAATGACAGAGAAATTATCCCAGTGTCTTGTTAGGCTTGGATGTGTTCGTAACCCAGGAGGAGCTGGTGTTTTGGGGCGTGAGAGGGATTTCCTTCCTGTATTACGGCTCTTGGAGAAGAACCCGTGTCTTTACACAGCCCTGCTGGAGCCCTTTTCGAAAGTGCCTCATTTCTGCAGGAGCAGAACAGGCTTTTCCAGTTGGTTTTTTCGGCAGTGCTGTGCCTTAGCTTCACCTGAAGGGCTCGGGTTGCTCCTGTTTTCCTCTGTGTGAAGCCCGTCTAGCCTGGAAGGATGTGTTTAAGATTTACACTAGAGGGTGTAGTGGTTTAGCTTGCGACCAGGCAACCATCTTCTTGAAAGCAGGTTCTCAATCCAGCAGGAGTTGCTCCCTGAACCTGCCTGTCTTGTTTTCAGCAGTACACTGGGCTATCTTTGACCCATTTAATCACGTCACTCGATAAATAAGATTGAAAAGCTTTTTTTTTTTCTTTATTTCCCCGCCAGAGCAGATGGGTACCAGCTCCAAGAGCTCCAGTGCAGATCTGTGTTTTCTGGGACAGTGCCTAGAAAAAAGGCCAAACATCTGAAGATTCAGTCTGCTAACGTATCGATTCGTGGCCAGTGTTGACTTTGAAGTTTTTGGATCGCTGTAGGACTGGCAGTAACCCCAAAAAACTCTGGAGCAGGCGTTCCCTAGCCTTGAAGGTCGCTTTTGAAAACCGAGGAGTGGAGCTGGCCTTGCCAGGTCGTGGTGGGAGGAGGCGAGGGGCGCTTGCCAGATGGAGCAGAGAGGAGGCGAAAAGAGGTTTTGATGGGGCAGAGCACTGGTCCCCTTTTCTCCCCCTTAGTTTTGTTGGGTGAGGAGGGAATTGGCGTGATGCGCCCGGTCCGTGGGGCGCGTTTGAACCGAGCTCGGAATTGTGTGATGCTTCACGTGGGGAACCTATTGCAGTGCCTTTACTGCAGGTATCTGCCTGCTTGGTAAAAGTGTGGCTGCCTGGAGGCTTGTGGAAATTCGGGGCCAGCTGAAAGCTGAGGAAGGTGCCGGCTGTAGCCTGCAGCTACGGGGTATTTCCATGGTGGTCTGAGAAATGGGACGTGAGCCCGTGCGGGACTGGGAATGTGGAGATTGCGCATTCTCCTCCTGACTTGGCTGAAGTGCTTTTTCCATCTACGAAATGACTAAACCCCACCTGCTTCAGAGCAGGATGAAAAGATTATTGAATGTGTGTGAAGTGCTTTGAAAGCGTGCTGGGTAAGTAGGAGGGAAGAACTGCCTTCAGTCCTAAAAGCGCCTCTTCAAGAGCTGTAGAGGAGAAAAATAGGTCTCTCTTTAAAGTCTGGGTCCTGAGTATGCTGAAAGACATAAAAGAAGCGTAATACATCTCTTCATAAATATCTTAAGGAAAACAGCTTTTTGGCTTGCTGGGTTTGATAGTAGCTGGCAGGAGATGCTGAAGAGGTGGATGTTTTTTTGAACCCAGAGCAGAAAGCTGTGTCCGCATCTGGAGGTCTCTTTGTCTGCTCTAATCCTGGTGTTAGCGTGAGACGGGGAGAGCGAGGCTTTCAGCACCCGGCCTTGAAATACTTTATTCCAGAGCAGTGGGTACGGGCAGTCGCTCGGCAGTTTCCTGGTACGATCCGAAGCTTGCGGAGCGCTTTTCTCGCTGTGTGGATTTTCTGGGCAAGGTTAGATCTCGATTGCGTCTTTGAAAGGTGACTGGATGGGTTCGTCTGGTACCATCCAGCGACCGAGTTTTTCACCTCTGTGTGATTTACACTCCTGAGCCCACAAGTCGGCTGCTGTAACACTGTTTGGCTCCTGTTTGCTCGGGTCAGGTGTAGAGAAATCCTTGAGCTTATCTCCCCAGCTTTAACTCTCTTGCTCCTGGTGGAAGGTGCTTCCTGTCTCCTTTTTTTCCAAACCCTCAAGCAAAAAGCAGCCGCGTGGGGTGGTTGTGCCTTGTCTATAAAACACCGTTCAAAATGAGACATGGTAAAAACCTGAAGAGCCTCTTGAAATGTTAAAACTTGAATCCTCCTCAGCCCATGTGTCACCAGAGGATCGAGGCCGTTCCCTTCACCGCTCGGGCTCCCCACGCAGCGTGGTGCTCGGGCTGTTCGGTGGGAGCAGCCTCTGCACCCTCTGAGGTTGTCTCTGTATCACTTACATCACAGTGAAGGTTCACGCCGCGTGTGGAAAGGATGAAAAAAAAGTCTTTAACGGATGCGTTTTCCTTCCTGCAGTTGATGTTGTGCAAGTTTGGCTTCTCGTAGGAAAGAGCTTTTGTTCCTGCGTTTGCTGCAGGGGAATCGAATGAGAAATGGAAACTTTGGTATTTCTTCACTGAGAGAGGAGATGGTTCAGGGTTGGGTTGTTCTAGTCCATGAACCGTGTGGGGGGGATATTGCTCAGACCAGACCGCTGCTTTTCTTTTCCCCTCTCCACATTTGTGTTCAGGACAGTAATTACCAGAATGTTGCTGGTGGATGTTACTTTATTTTTTTAACTGAGTTTTGAAATGAAGAATAGAAAACCCACCTGTCAGTGAGGTCAGGACTTGTCTTTTCATGTAAGTCGCTGCGGTGGCTTTCTAGCAGTCAGGGATTTCTTGTCAGTTGACTAAACTGTCAGTTAGGGCAGGTTTCCTGTGGGTGGGCAGGTGCAGCTGCTTGATGCGTAGGGATTTCGGTGTGGGCTGGCAGGGCACTTCTGATTTTTGGTCTTTTTTTGCAAGTGGGAACGTGGCTGCGAGGAGACTTGGCCCCTGACCGCTCATGCGGCTCTTCCTCGCTCTGGTGAGACTTGTGAAAAAGGTGGGAGCAAAGCTTCTCAGTCAAGCCGGAAGGATTTTGAAGGCAGGGCCAGGTCTCAGAATCACACATGGTGGGGGTTGGAAGGGACCTCTGGAGATCAACCCCACCTGCCAGAGCAGGTTGCACAGGGCAGCGTCCAGGTGGGTTTGGAAAGTCTCCAGAGATGGGGACTCCACAACCTCTCTGGGCAGCCTGGGCCACCCTCAAAGTAAGTTCCTCCTGGTGTTTAGCTGGAACTTCCTATGGTCAAGTTTGTGCCCCTTGCCTCTTGTCCTGTCGCTGGAAATAACTGGCCCCGTTCTCCTGACACCTGCTCTTCAAGCATTGGTAAGATCCCTTTGGCCTCCTCTTCTCCAGACTAAAAAGCCCCAAGTCCCTCGGCCTTTCCTCACAAGAGAGATGTTCTGGTCCCCTCCCCAGCAGCTCCCTGTCCCTCTTGAACCGGGGAGCCCAGGACTGGACCCAGCACTCCAGATGTGGCCTCACCAGGGCTGAGCAGAGTGGGAGGATAAGCTGCCCCCACTCTGTGCACCCCAGGATGCCCTTGGCCACAAGGACACATCCTTGGGCATCCTGTTGTCCCGCAGGACTCCCAGTTCTTCTTCCTCAGAGCTGCTTTCCAGCAGGTTGTCTCTGCCCTGCAGCCTCCTTCCCCACTGAGACGGAGCGTGGGCTGCAGGGGTGTTGGGGGTTCTAGGGGGGGCCCCCGGCAGGATGGGGTAGTGGCTCGTTAGGGGTGCAGCTGAGGAGTGGGGAAAGGAAGAGGTTCAAAAAAAGTCCTCCCCAGGTGATGGGAGTAGTGCTGAGAATGAAGAAAACGGCCCCAAACCCCCCGCAGACGTTCAAATTAAACCCCAGTTCGACTTGGGAAGCAGATGAGGGTGAAGGCGGGACTTCAGGTTGGTAAGTCCTGCCCTAATTATCTCTGCAACCCAGAAAGTGCTGTGTCAGCACATGGTCAGCGGTAATTGTGCCACGAGCCTTCGCCGGAGCGTCTTAGCAAGCACCGAGCAGATATTAAAAAAGCCTGGAGTACAGCATGAACAAATATCTGCAATATTTATTAACCACGGGGAGTTCAGGTAATTCTTTGAAGTTTTTTTGACTTGCTGCGGGATGAACTTGAGTTTCTGTGGGGGCTGCAGTACGGGAAGGAGCGGCTACGGGAGAAGCGCCTTCTCCAGGGAGGTTTCCACGTGGTAGCCATTCATTTAACGTGAAACTCCAGTCCTCGGGGTTGCATCTGCCTCTGAAAAATACAGACTATGCAAAAAAACCCCAAACCTACCAAACTCAGCTCTGCTCTGGAGGGTTTAGCCTCGCAAGGATTTTTCCTCTCCATGGCAGATGTAGATTTTTTTGATTGAAGAGAGGATCTGTGCTGAGAATCGAGGAGCGTGTTGGGTTAAAAGTGTCTGCGGAGCTGCAGGTGTCTGAGTCGTAAAGGAACTGCAAACTATTAATTCCAGCTTTTGAGTTAACTGAAGCCAGACAGGTTTTAAAACCAGTTTAGGTTTTGTTTTCAGCCCTTCCTAAGTCACAGCTGAAGTTTTTTAAGTGTAAGCTAGTTTGAAAGTTGCTTTTTGTTAGTTTTGAACTCTGGTTTTCAAAGTGTCCAGTTGTGACTGAGTTGAAATACTGTTGGTTGGTTGTATTTTGTGGTTTGTTTTTTTTTCCTCTAAATGGGAATTCTTTACCTGAAATAGTTAAAAGAAGTAAGACAGGTGTTGAGATGATAACTTATCTTGAGTAAGCCAGAGCAAGGCTGGAAAATTAAGGGACCGGTGGGCGAGAAGTAGTGTTAGTGCTTGTGAAAGTAACTTTCAAGGCAGAGTTAAATGGAGAGAAAAGACAAAAAACTTTTAAGTTGTTTCTTTTTTCCTTCTGCTTCGTCGAAAAGCTCGCTTGCTCTACTAATTCAGTTTTGGGGTAGACCCTTAGCTTTACCTAGCACTTACACAGAAGACATGTAAATGTTTTCTAGTCTGTCATTTTCTCAGAAAACAGAAAAAAAAAAGTCTCTGGTTTTTTTTTTTTTTTTTTCCGAACAGAATTTCAACTTTTCTTGTATTTTGAGGAATAACTTTAAAGCTAGAATGAGAAAGGGAAAGGAAAGATCTCCAAAGAATCCAAACACTGAGTATCCAGATTCATATATAATCGATTTTTAAAACGGTGAGACGCTTTCTAACCTGTGTGGCGACACGCCGTGGGGTCACGGTAGCAACCTGGGGAAAAATCTTGATATTTTAGGTGCCAGCCTTTGCTTTCTGCCAAATCCGCCTGTTCCGTTTCTCACGATCTTTCTTAGGTGATGAGAGAAATGGATGGGTGATGGGATTTCCTCTTAGGAAAACGTGACGTTTGCGGCAGAGCTTGACATGTCTTGATGCTCTTTGCCTCCTGCTGCTGTTTGAGCGCCGGAGCGGGTGGGCCTGTGGCCACAGAGGGTGAAAACGACGGCTCTCGCTGGGGCCAGACCACCTCGCTCTGCCTTGTGCATCCTCACATTGAACTGGTGTGGCCGCGTGGAGCCGGGGCAGGCCCAGCTGTCCTCCAGGGCTGCCGGTGACGATGTCAAGAGGGTGAAGCCACCGTATTTAATGGGCTTGAGGACCTTCTGGATGCCTTTTGTGCTGCGCCAGGGAAAACTTCAAGCAAGAACGGTCAGACCTTGGCACAGGCTGCCCAGGGAGGGGGTGGAGTCCCCACCCCTGGGGGTGTTTCAAGGCCGTTGAGATGTGGGGTTGGGGGAGATGGTTTAGGGGTGAGCTCTGCAGAGTAGGGTCAGTGGTTGGACTTGATGATCCCAAGGGGCTTTTCCAATCTGAATGAGTCTATGATTCTGTGAAAACTGCACAAAGTCACATTTTCTTGGATAAAATGAGGAGGTGTGCGCTCCTTCGCTTTACGTCGCCGGCTGCGCTCCTTTGAGGGATGTGCCCTGACGTCCTCCTGGCCAAGCGAGTCTCCGGCCCAAGCGGGTGGTTCCCCAATAACGCTGCTGGGGACCCGCACGTCCCGCGTTGGAGCTGCTCCCGTGCTGGACTGAACCCCCTCGGGCAGGTCAGTGGCTCCTCGTGTCAAGCTGAGAAAACAGCTTGTGGCTTGGGGGAGGATGATGTCCGGCTGCTCTTGTCCCTCGGCGTGGCCCCGTGCTGGCTGTGACATCTCCGGTGAAGCCCCCGGTGAGCCGGCGCCGCCCGCCGAGCCCGCCTTGGGTTGGCAACATCTGGTGAAACCTTAGGCAGGCTTTGCCACAGCAGGTGTAAAAATACCGCAGTGTGATGGGTGATGGCTCGAACTTTATTTTTGGTGTTGCTAATATAAGACTTTCTTTTCTCGTATTTGCTTCCTTTTTTAACACTAAAGAAACAGCCAAGTTGGTTCTTGGTGGCTTCACATCCCTCTTGTGGAGTGACAGATGTGAGGAGCGGGATGCGTAGGGAGCGGCCATTGGGCTAGACTGGCAGCGATACCTCTCAGACCTTGCTCCCTGATGTTCTTAGACCAGCACAGGGTTATCCACGCTTTCAATGCTTAATTTTAGTTATTAAATTTACCATTTAAAAAGAGAAAGAAGGAGCGGAAAAGCAACTGTTAAGACTAGAGTTGTATTTAAAGTTGAAGAAACATTTTTCTTAGCTCCTCTTACCTGCTCTCCTAACCCATTTACCCTGGGTAATTATTTGAAATGCACTATTTTAAATCTCAATGTTAATTATTTCCAAGTGGTTGGATATTGTTGTTAAATTAATCGTTGGAAATTTACTTTGGGTACTCGCAAATGAGATCTGCGCCGAAACCTGCCGCTTCTTTTGGGCCGTTTAATTCTGAAGGGTAGCAAAACTCAGCCCGCTGGTAAAGCCTTCCTGAAACATTTTGTTCTTGAGAAACCACTGCCTCTTCTGCGAAGCGTTAGATGAAAAGCTTGAAATAATTTTCCAAGGGCGATAACTTTTCTGTAATCACAGAGGCTGTCCGTTTGCCGAGTGCTGGCACTGTAAACACAGGCAGGCTGTTAAGCTAACAGAACTGTTCTGATGACGTTAAAATAAAAATGCCTCTTTATTTATTTATTTTTTTCTTTTTCCAAAGAGGTCTCCCAACAGCTTTCACCTTCGCCGTCTCCCGATGTTGCTGCCCTTTGTTGCCAGCTCCAGGTGACCCAGGAAAACGGGCGACTTCAGCAGCGGCAGGTCTTGAAACGTTCGCTGCCTTTTTCCTCCGCGCTGGTCTCTCTGCAGCTGGAGAGCAAACCCTTCTGCTGCAGGATCTTAATTGCCGTAAATTCCAAAGTTTCTCGGAGGTTTTTGCCTCCTTTTTGTTTAGCAGCAGCCGCTGCTTGGCGACTGTTATATCTGGAAGGAAGGTAGTTGGCGTTCGTGGCCCACACGTGTGCAAGAGCTTCACTTCTCTTCCAAAACCTGCAGCTTCACAACAACCAGTCCCCAGCATCCCTCAGACTTTTCTGTCTTTAAAGCATTCCAAGTGCGTGTTCTGGGAGGGCGCTTAAAAAAACGCTTTATTTTTATTTTTATTTTTATTTTTCTCCTCCAAAATGATTCACTGTCAAATAAGTTTGACCATCAAGCAGGTGACCTCGTACTCCCATTATTCATTTAACATCAGCCTTTGTTTACTGCCTTTGCTTGTTGCACAAACTAGAAGGACCAGTGCACAGCAAGGAGTCGTTAGCTTGTAGAAACTCTGTAATAAAACAGCTCCACCTCGGAATTGAGGCCTCGTTTCCCAGAACCAACATGACTGTAACCAGAGGGGGAAAAAAAAAACCAAAATCAACCTCGTTTTATTTTGGAGGAATCTTGTTTTCCGCTTCTGTGTGCTTTGTGCTGAAATGGTCGATTTAAGTGCGGTTTGCCTGAGTATATTCTCAGGTAGTTCTAGGTTAAATAAATTGGTCGCTGAGACCCTGTGTAAATTATTAATAACTTGTTTCGTTTCGTGTTGATGTTACCTTCGCCTTTTTGTGTCTCAGAAGGACTCTTTCAAACGTCTGAGGTACATTAATTTATTAAAATAGTTGGAAAGAACGTCCCGATTTTTAAAAAAAAAAGCCTGCAAGGAGTTGTCGTCTCAAGTCTCATTATCTCGTGATTCTCAAAGGACAGTTTAGACTCTCGATTTCACATCCATCCAAGAAGAGTCATTTCTCAGCAGAAATCCCGCGGGCATCTTGCACGTCGCACTAGCAAAACCAGGGTAGTTCATCTTGTAATAATCTTACTTTACACCGTGAGCTCGCTCACCTGGAGATGCTTTTCTCTCCCGGGTTCTTAGGAGTAGAGCGAGACGCCTAAAAGGCAGCTGGGTTCAGACAGCATTTTTAATTTCTCTGGCTTTGGGGACTTCCGTGCGTACGGCTCTCCATGTCTATATGTGTGTGTATGAAAATCAAATCCTTTTCTGCTCGTGTTTCTGCCGCATTACCTGCAAATGCATCGCGGCCAAAGGTGACGGCTCTGATTAGTCGCGTGGAGCCCCACTTACACAAGTGTTTTTCGTGGCAAAGGTACCCTTTGATCAGCGGCGCCTGGGTAATCCATCAGGCCTCCTGCACAGCTACAAAAGGGCTCTTTCACGGCAACATCTCAAAGCCCGCTGGCATTCTCGGAGATTATAATGTAGTTTTACCTCTGGTCATTCCCTTAAAAAGAAAATGTGCAAATTAGTTTTATCCTATGGAATTGGGCCCCAGGTCTGTGCTTAGGTTGTCTTCTACCTCCTTGGTATCCCGATATATTTAAAACAGTTTTTTTTCTGCGTGCATGGGATGTCTTTTGTGTGGCTTGTTTTCACGCTCTGTTACTGGGGTTTTTTATCATTTTGCCAAGTCTTTAGATCCAGGCTCTGTGTTCTCATGACATGTATCAGCCCTGATGCTGCTGCTGTTTGCATCGAGGTCTGTTCCTGTTTTTTTTGCCCTTTTTACCTGCATTTCTTGCTGGTTTCTTCTCCTAACTAGGCTCTGGATGCCCGTGTCTGGCGTACGCCGTCTGCCGAGATGCTCCGGTTTCCTACCTTCTCCCTCCCTCTCTCCCCACTCTGTACCGAGCGTCCTAACGGGGAACAGCGGCACAAGTTCTGGAAATGCACTTTAAAAGAGGTGAAGGGGGAGCTAGTTCTAGAAATACAGCACCTTGTTCCTTTTTCCCCACAGTTTTGATCCTCAGCGCAGCTCCGACCGCCCTTTGGAGGACGGTGACGTCGCGCTGCGATTGCCCGGAGTCCCTGCTCAATCAGGAGCTAGTTGGTCTGGAAAAACAACTTGGCAAACGCCAGGGAGTAAAAAAGGGTTTTAGGAAAGCGCTGCATTTTTTTTTTTAACCCAGTCTCTATTCTGTTTTCCTTGGAGCCTCGTTCTGCCAACTGCTGGATGGGTTCTTTTCTTAGCGCCAAAGAGATCTATGTGTTCGTGGATGGATCCTCTCTAAAAAAAATAAAAAAAATCCAAGATAAAACTGGGTCTTGTGAGAATGGTAGAAATGGCTCCTGTAAACACTTCTCATTTCTGCCTGTTACAAGAAATTCTCTTATCCCGCTTAGACCTGAGAGTTTGTTTTCACTTTTTTCCCTGTCTTTTATCTCTCTGCATATCGTTTTGTTCTTCGGGTCGGAAAGCCACTTTTACTACTGTCCTTCCAGCAAAGAACAAAAAGTTCTTCTGCAGCAGCAGCAGCCGGAGACGCTGGAACGTCTGTAACGGTTGTGTTGCCTTTGTTACCTGTCTTTTTTTTCTTGCTAGCAGCACTCAGTTCGTCAGTCCAAGTAAAACTGATTTCCCTGCAGCTGCCGTGAGAAATCCTGAGCTTTGAGGAATATTGGAGGCTTTTGGTGGGCTTTAGGCATTGGCAGCGATCAGTGAGAACCTAATCCACCGTTTTCGTGCGGGAATCCTCTTTCCTCCTTTGGTCGCTTCGTTGAATTAAGCAGATAATTCTGTGCGTACTCAGCTCCTCTTGGTCCTAATACAGTAATTATTCTTTGGTGCCCCGAAGAATATTTAATTTATGGAGCTTTTCCATGAGTAATAAAAGCACTTTGTTAATAGATCTTTAGTCTTTAAGACCCTGTGGTAGTTCGTAAAATCTAGTCTGGCCACACACCAGCCACTGGCCAGAGAACATCGCTGGTGGCTTTTAGTATCAGACATTTATGCTGTGGTGATGAGAGCACAGCTTTCGGTAGTGTCTTTCAGCATTGGATTTTGATGAGGGCAGACCTCAGGAAGACCTTTTTTCAAATTTTACTCCAAAGAGAATTTTACCAAAGTGGCTGGCAGTAAGTTAATATTTTTTTCTCTCTCTCTTTTGCAGAGCGAGGCTATGATCCCTACAATCCGGAGCTTCCGAGGCCCTCGCTGGAGGCGGAGGATGGCGCGCTGGCTGACGTGACAGATGTGACGCCCGGTATTCTGGAGCTGGAGCTGGTCAACAAGGCCATCGAGGCCGTCAAAAACGAAGTCGAGAGAGAGCAGAAAAAGTATGAGGAGCTGCTAGAAACGACAAAGGAGTTGGGTGCTTCAGAGGCCTCCTCACTCATTTCAAATACTCCCGTGTCGGCCGCTGGGACGCAAAATGATTCGTTTACCTCCTTAGAGTACAACCCAGGTAGCTACAATTTTAATAATAACTCGGACTACAACCCCACTCCTCTCGCTGCTGCTGGCCGGTCAAGTAAATACACTTTGGATGCTTCCCGATCTAAAGGCAGCTCCCTGGAATACGTTCCCAAGGCCGTGGTACAGAATAAAAAATACTGTAGCACTGTCACTAACAACAAATATGTGATCGATGACTCTAAGCCTTCGACAGACTTGGAATATGACCCGCTTTCAAATTACTCAGCCAGGCTTTTGAGCAAAGCCACGAGCAAGGAGCCCAAGGGGTCTAAAAGGGGGAGGCTGTGTAGTTACGAGGAATCGTACTCTCCTTCACGGAAGAAGCTCTGTGAGGTACCCGATGAGTATGAAGTGTGTGCCAGGTTCTCTTCCTCTGAAGATGAGGCTGATGTGGAATATAAGCCGATGTCAGTCAGTTCACAGTCGAAAGCTGGTTCTGAAAGCGAGTCGAACGACGGGTTGTCCGGCAAAGAGCAGAGCACCGCACCGGATGGTTTCGCTTCCCAGGATAGCAAAGAAGCGGCAGCGCAATACGGCACGGAAAACCTTCCAAGTTCACAGAAAAACCTTGCCAAAAACTTATCAGACAAGAATGCAAAAGCGGTGAAATTGTGTTCTGGTAAGAGCGACCAGGAAATAGAAAATAAAAACAAGGACTCGAAAGACAAAACAAAAAGGAAGAAATCAGATGTTAGTAAAACATCTGGCCTCGGTGACCTTGGTAAGAAGGAGAAAAGTAAAAATGCAGAAAAAGACAAAGTGCTCAAGAGAGATGAAAAATTAAAAACCAAGAGTGAAGAGAAAAACTGCAAAGATAAAAGTGTCAAAGTGAAAACCGATGGGCATTTAAAGAAACCTGAAAAACACAAATCAGAAAAAGTGGATGGGCTTAAGAAAGAAAAATCCAAGTCCGGCAGCAGCAGTAGTTCAGGGAAAAGCAAGAGTGAGGGTGTTGTCAAAGGCTCTAGCGCAGAGAAGCTGGGGAGCAGCAAGAAAGACTCCAAGCTGAAAGCAGCTGATGTGAAAAATGGTAAGGAAAGCTCTGGTCGCAAAAGCAAAGAGAAAGGGACTAAGACTCCAGCGCTGGAGCGAAAGAAAGAGAAGGTCAGTCCTACAGGGAAAGGAGACCCCAAGAAGGGTCGGAGGCAGCAGGGCTTGAGTCACGTTGACCTGTTTGGCGACGAGAGCGGCGATGACGATGACAAAGGCCGGCCCTTACCCACCACGTTAGTTGATGTGAGCTCGGATTCGGATGGTGACGACCGCGTTTCAGACTCTGAGAGTGAAAACGAAGGGACAAAGAAAGCGAAGCGCTCTAAATTGTCAAAGTCGCCGTCGTCTTCCTCAACGTCTGACGACATTGATTATTCCATCCTTGAGAAAGACTTGGACTTCGAGTCAGATCCGATGGAAGAGTGTCTCAGGATTTTTAACGAATCTACGGACGTGAAAACGGAAGACAAGGGAAGGCTGGGGAAACAGGTAATGCTGCTTTGGGCGGGTTGGTTCTCTCCCCTCTAAACGTGAAAGGATCCTGGTTTAGTTTAGCGGGGTTGCTTATTTCAAGTAGCTGAAGAGGGCTACGGAGGGAGACTCCATATGTTGGAAGAATCTCATCCTTGTCATGCTTGGAAGAGTTGGCACCTGACTTTACCTGCTGGGTTGAAAGCTGCTGGGAAATGTAAGGATCCATTTACCTTTTGTGTGGAATCAGGATTTTATCTGTTACTTCTGGCTCCTTCTGGACCAAGAACCACGGTGGCCAGGATGGCCGGGAGGAAAGGCTTCAGAGAGTACGTCGCGGGTGTTTCAGAGCTGATCCAAGCTTGCTCATCTGGGCCGTGCCTTCTCGTCGCAGCACGGCTTAAGGAACATAGCGGTGGGTAGAAGCAGGATGGGGTAAATAAGTCGATGTCGTTGGCAGTGGACACTTTGGAGACTCCCAGAATTACTGCTTCTAGTTTTCAGTGCATGCTGCAGGTATTTTGTGAGGATCCCTGGATACCATGTAGGTGGCGCAAATAAGAAACTGAGGTGAAAAATTCTTCAAAAGGCACAAGGGGTTCAGAATAAGGAGGTAAAAAGAGTATTTACATAAAAAGGCTTCTCCTGGTGACTGTGAGGTGGTCACTGGAGGATGGAAGACCCTTGTTTTCAAAGATGAAACCAAGTGTAAAAGGTTAGAGAGCAGCTACTGGCAGAGATCCTCTAACAGCATCTGAGGCAGGGAAGTAGGAGCAAGCAAAACTCATCCTTCATCTTCTGACACCCGTGTTCGACCAGGCAGCGAGAGCAAACCCTCGATCCCCAGAGCGGCTGCCTGCGCGTGGACGACGTTGTTTGACTTTGCTGTCAAAGCTGGCGCTCCCGGGTTTTCCGCTTGGGCTGATTTTGCTTGCCTGCAGAGTGGATGTTCAGGGAATTGGATTGGAAAGAGAGGGTTTTTTTTTTAAAAAAAAAAGGTGACAAATTTGGCAACGTTGAGAAAACCTCCCAAGCTTGTATCTTGTGTAACCCAGCTAGCCCCTCTGACTGCAGCTCCGGCCAGGGGCAGTCAGCTCGGTTACCTCAGCGGCTTTAGAAGCCAAGGGGACGAAATCGGGTGCTCGCTGTGCTGGGGGAAAGGAGGCACCAGAGGACAAGTGTGTCTGATCACTGAGTGCCTTCAGGAAGGTAGTGGCGATACTGGGAGGCCATCAGACCTTCCAGTGCATCCCAGTTTAGACCCCGTCAAACACAGCAAGACTCCCTTGGAGATTCCTGAGCTGAAGGGAGGGCAGGGCGAGTGCAGCAAGAAGGGTGCGACTGCGTGGTTGGAAAGGAGATTTCTTCTCCCGGTACGGTTGCTGGTGGACTTTTATTCTAAAAACGGCGTCAGGTTTTCAGGCTTTTGTTAGTTGGGTGGGTGAAGTGGCCATGAACAAAATTCTTCCATTCATGGCCATCTGTATGCGGAGGACAAAGTGAGCCGGGATCTGCAGCGTGGGGAAGAATCCTCATTTTCTGAAAAGAATAGCTGGGCTATTAAAGCCTTTTTGCTGAACTCTCTGTTGCAATAATGTCCCTCATCTGTTCAGGGAGGAGTCCGTGTTGCTGACAAGTAAAGACCTTTTTTACGCTCTTATGAAATGCGTTGATAGAAGAAACTGTTTAAAGCAGCTCAGCGTAATGATTTTCTGCTAAACTCTTCAGCATTACTTGATTTTGCTTGTATAAAATTCAGCTGCTTGCACTTTGGTTTTAGTATCGTTCCCAGCTAGGAAAGAGCACTTCAGTTTTGCCTTCCTTTCTCCAAATTGCTCGGCTGAAGCGACAGCGGTTTAAGGGAAATCCTCATCCATTTGGAGCTTTGCTTTCCAAATTCAGGGGGATTTGGAAAGGGCTGAATTCGCAAAGTGCTGAACCAGGGGCTGCCACTCTGCAAACAGTTAATTCCGGTGCAGGGCAGCAACGTTCAGCAGCCACGTGTGTTTCCTTTGCACGTTCTTTACCTTCTATCTCTGCACTGAAATTTGATTTCTCCCCCTTTTTGGAAAGGGAGGAGCAAGCGTTGCAGCACGGGTGGTTCTTCTTTGAGAACCGGGTGTTTGTAAGTAGGTACCTGCTTCCCTGCTGCATTCCCAGCGTGTTGGATTGGTCCTGGGGAGTTGGTTTTTTTATTTGTTTATGGAATAATTTTAGAGATGCAGCCTGTATTGTTTGGGCTCCGTAACGTGCTAGTCCGGAGGGAAGGTATATATGGGCAGCGCGGTGCTTTTTCCGCCAGGAAGGATGGCTTTGTGAGAGAGTTTATTAGGGATGTAACTGAATTAACAGACTTAACCGAGTTCCTAGAGAGCGAAGTGATTCAGTGTGAAGCGCTCATCCAGAATGCCCTCGTGGTGATGAGCACGAGCGGAGTCTGAGCTCATCCCCAAATCCAGCCTCCAGCTCTGTCGCTGCATTTCTTAGGAGATCGTCAGGCTCGTCTCTACCCAGAGCTTTGCCAAGGGTTATGCTTGAAAAATGAAAGCGAGATTGACTGGAGAGCAGCTAGAGTTTTGAAAAATAAACTTGTGAAGTGTGTTTTGTAGAAATAAGCAGCCAAGCAAAATGCAAAGAAGGTTTGAAAGTGGTTTCGCCGCCGGGGGAAGCGAGGCTGAGATGTCAGCTCAGAAGCAGCTTTACCTGGAGAGCTGCTGTTCCTTCCTCCAGGGTTTCTAGCCGGACGAGTGTGGCACCCGGGGGGTTGTCACCGCAGTCTTTCTGCAGGCACGGCTGTGGATGAATCTGCAGAGAAAAGATTGCCCGAAATGCGGAGCGGGGCCGCCGTGGCCTGGTGGCGAGCGGTGTTTGCAGGACCCGCTCCGGCAGCACATGACGCGAGGGCAGAAATGAGTCAGCTCCCAAGTTCTTACCAAAAAAACCACCCGACCAGTCCCCAAAGCCCCTGGATTTTAAGTGCTGTGGCAGGTGAGGGGTGCAAAGGGTGTCCAAGTCTCTCGTGGCGGGTGGGGGCTGTCCTGAATCGTGCTGATCCCTGGGGGCAGCCGTGATGTTGCTGTTCCTTGGCGTCGTCAGTGGCTCCTGGGTTCCAAAAAAGGTTTTTTTTACAAGTTCAGCAGCTGCCCACATGCTCTTCTCGCCTGCCACCTGCAAGGACTTTCTGGTAACCCAAAAAGGCTACTTTTTTCCTGAGATCTCCTCACTGAGAGGGATCTTCGAGTCTGTTCGATTTTGGAAGCTTGTTCTTTTTGTTTTCCAGCTATCCAAAGAGGAAGGAAGTGAAGAAAAGGCAGAAGATAATTTAACTACCTTGTTTCCTGGCCAAAAAAGAAGGATCTCTCATCTTGTCAAGCAAGGAAATGTAAGTGGAGCTTTTAGAACCAAAAGTTTAGATTCGTAACCGTGAGGATTTTCTGTCATGGCGCTGAAAAATGATGCAGCCCCAGGTTTGGGCTCGTTTGCAGCGGAATCGATCTGCAACAGTTTTTCCCCCCGTTTCGAGTGTCTGAAGAACATCTGTCAGGCATCTGTTACAAATGGCAGCAAAACTCTGATAAACTTCCATAAAACCAAGGGTGAGCAGTGGAAGAGGAAATGGATTCTGCACCTTGTAGCTCATTTGGGATTGATCGAGCTGTTCATTTTTCTGCAGTTTAGCTTCAGTCGCTGCAGATAAAAATTAGCTGGACACAAGGTCAGTCTGTGTCTGAGGGCAATTCTCTTCTGTCTTGACCTAAAAGACAGCTGTAGGAATTTTGTCAGGTGTTTGTGTTTAAAACCATTGCGTTGTATCCTCTGAATCAGCCAAGATATCAGCAGTTTCATGGTTCTGAAAAGATTTTAAGTACAGAGAATAATTAGAAAAAAGGCAAGGAAGACATTCCGATCTTTTTGCTTCTTTCTCCCTGGGATTTTAATTCATGTTTTCTCTGAGGTTTTAATGTGTTTCCCTCCAGGTGCTGAGCACAGATTAGTCAGTTTTATGTTCCAGCAGGATGAAAGTGGAGGCTTAAGCACTGATTTGAGCTGGGTAGACCAAATTAATTGTTCTTCCTTTCCTCTCTGCCTAAGAAAGGTTTCTTTTGCTTTTAATAATTCGAAGCCCTGAGGTCAATACAATGTGTTTTATTTAACTACATATCAAAACCTGTGAACTGGCTGAAGATAAGGGCCCTTTCTTCCCAAGTGAAGTGATAAAAGGCTGAAGCAAATGGGTTGGAAATTCGTTAGCTCAAATATTTGTCGCAAACGGTGTGCGCAGACCTTTCGATGCGTTTCCGTAACGTGACGGCTGATCCCGAATCGCTTGCTGAAGGTGGGAGCCCCGGCACCGTCCCTGCGTGGGCAAACGGAGCCGATCTGCCGCGCTCGGCCGCAGCTGCCGTGAGCACGCGCCGCGACGTGCCTTCCCCGCGGCGTCTCGGCTCTGCCAAATCCTGTTCAGGAGGCGCCGTGAGACCTGAGCTGCTGCTTTTACGTGCGGGCTTGAGGCTCACGCTTTGCCCTGTGCCCTCCAAGTCGAATATTCCATCGGTCTCGCTTTAACTCAAGGAACTGAGCAAACAGAAGGGGAGGGAGCCGAGTTCTAGTGTAGATGCCAGGAGAAATGGTGGGGCAAAGGAATTGAAGGTGAGGCAGAAAATGAGTGTCCTGTCCTGCTCGGAAGTCTGTAATTATAATTTAATGGCCGACAGTGCGCGGTTTGGTATCCAGAAGCTGGTGGTGGCATCAGAGACCAGGAATGCAGGAGGTGCCAGCTTGCCTCCAATTTGAGGTCTCGGAAACGCCGTGTTACACCTGAGCTGCGTGAGCGCGCCCCTCTCTGAAGAAGTTGGGGAGGGAAAGGCTGCTTCTCAGATTTCAAAGGTTATTAAGTAGCACGGAGAAGTTTTTACTACTGCTCCTTCTCCTGAACTTCTGCGAGAAAACTTCTCTCCTTGCTGACACCATTTCTGGCACCTTTCCTGCAACCTAAATTTGGACATCAAAGGAAACGCGCGTGCAACTTGTTTGTGCTGGTAACGGCGGAGGCAGTGAAACGCCTCCAGAAGTAGGCAGGGGCAGAACCTGTTTAAAATTCAGAGCTGGGTTTATGTAATACTCTAATCCCATAAACGCGTATACGTGAGACTTCTGAGGAGTTGCAGGAGCTAGAGACCTGAAGCTGAAGAAGCACGCAGCTAGATGGAGTTTTCTAGTGCAAGACTGTGGAGTTGAGAGTGTTGAGGGAGCCCAGAAGTGGGTCAGGCAGGGTGCTGGGGAGCGTCATGCCATTAACCGAGCTGTTCCAATCCCACCTGCCAATTTAGGAACGCGCCAGAGTGCTGGGAAGCCTCGTCACAGGGCGGCTCATTACTCTCGTGTTTTTTGGTGGGTGGCACTAAATGTTTTATTCTGGATCTCCTCTGAAAACCCTGCGCTTGCAAATAAGAGGAAAAGACTTTGGGTGAATGGAGCCAGAGGGTGGGGATGGAGCGGGCGGGCGCTCTGGCTCTAAAACCTGTTTGTCTGTGCAGGCGGAGGTCCCGAGCAAGCCCGTAATCCGGCCGTACCGTCCCCCCACCGCGCAGGAGGTCTGTTACCAGAGGATCCAGCTGGCTCAGCAGCAGGCGGCACAGCTGGCTGTGGCCGTTCAAAAGGCCTCTCTTTCTTTGCCAGGAGAAAAGAAGAGGATTGCTCACGTGCCAAATGTAGCCCTTTCCGCAGCAGCCAAGCAAAGTAAGGCAGCAGCGTTATTTGTGACTCGCCCCGTTAAGACACTGCCTTGAGTTTAAATTCCTCCCGAGCAGACGGGAAACTGTCGGGAGGTGCGTAGTGTTGGCCGTGACTTGAGTCTTTGCCGACGGTGACCGGTGGAAGGTCTTTCCCCTGACAAATTCCACCCTATTCTGCAAAGCAACAGCCAGCGTACAGCCCTGTTCCCCTCGCCGTCTCACCCAGCCTCCCTTGCTCCAGCCTGTTCTTTTTCTATTTCTGCCTTGGCCCGTGTTTGCTCCCTCGTTGGCTCTTCCCTTTAAGCCTTCGGAGGTGACACGGGCAGGAGGGATGTACTAATTAACGCTTGTTTCTAGTTGGAAGGACTCAGAGCTGACGTGACGGGCAGTTAGTGCTTTGGAGCTGACAGGGTTACCTCTTTAAACTCTGCTGACTCAGTTGCCCCAAAACAAACAGAAATGAGGCACGTTTCCTGGCAGAAGGCTCCTTCGTCCTTGCCTGGAAGGTGGGAAAATTACCCAATTTGTATCTCTTTGGAGGCTCCCGTTTGAAAAAAAAATCACAGCTCGCAGCGTGGGCCTTCTAGAGGAAGTTCATTCTGGCAACTTGGAGCCCAGTGGTAGGATTTCTACCTAAATTTGTTTTCTGTTCCATGCAGGCCTCGGGAGTAGCAAGACGACTGTCGCTGGCAGGAGCGTCGCACCTTCCAATGACTCTGAAGCACCCACCCCTTCTCTGAAGGCTTGCACCTTAGCTGGGATGGCTTCAAAGACCACCAGCACCATCGTGCCGAAAAGGATAGCGCACGTTCCCTCCTTACAGGTAGGAGGAATTTGAAATCTTCCTGGCCGTTGCCCTTCGAGGGCGGTACGTTTAACCGCGCCGCTCCGAACTCGCCGCTCTCCGACGAGCGGCGTTTGGATTCGGTTGATTAAAAGGGTTTGTTTCTTCCTGTGGTTTTCCTCGAGAGCATCGTATAAAGAACTAAACACGTGAGGGGTAGGAGCTTAAAAAGACAGAGCTACTTAAGTGCTGCTCTGATCTCTTTGAATATTGATCACTCCTCTTCGGTTTGAGTCTTCGGTTGTGCTCTCTGGCCGGGTGTGGAGCTCTTTGTGTCGGGAACTTGGAGCCTCTCGTGTTCGAAAGGCATTGGCTGGATTAACGACCTTCCTGGGCTTTGTGGGTTGTGCTGAGGAAGGTGGTTATGAATAATGTCCCTCAGTGACCTATATAGTTAAAATGGGACCAGTTCAACTTCACGCTGCTGTTAATATTTGGGAGGAAAGCACTCTCTTATTTTATTTTTTTCCTCCATCCCCTTTTTTTTCTTTTCTTTTTTTTTGCCCTGCCTGGCCCTTGGGTACTTTTGCAATGAGTTCCTTAGCAAAGAAGTCCCTCCTTTCCCTGGGAGCACTGGGCAACGTGTTACTCGGATAATTCAGAATAGAGTTAGCTCCTCCTGCAGCAGCATGTGGATGGCAGAAGAAGCTGTTTGCTGGAGTGGATGACAAGGAACGTGGAGAGTGCCAGATTCAGGATAGATTTATTGGTGATCTCTTGGGTGAAGACACGTCGTAACCTACTCTGATTATTTCTGTAGGAGTGAAAAGTCGTGGGTTTTTTCCCTTCCCCACCCAAAAAGCCACCGTAGCAATATCGAAGCTGATTAAAAATAAAAGAAACAGCTGAAAGGATAAAATATTTTAGCAGTTTTATGGAGGTGCATACTAGAGGCTGAGAAAAAAAATACAGATGTCATGAAAAGGACCAAATTCCCTTGAAGAAGGCATCAAAGGGGAAGTCTCAGGAGGGAAGTGAGCACCCTTGCCGTGGAGATAAGAGCAGCTGCTCCCCTTTGAACGTGCTCGTATCTTCTGTGGAGCTATTTTCATTACAGATTGCAGCAGATGGTTTGGTTTCTGGATAGCTCTTGAGTGGGGAGGAGAAAGACCGACAAAACAGGCGAGTGCTTTAGAGGCAAACATAGTTCCTTCTCCGCGAAAGAAGCAAATTGTGAGATTTGGAGGAGAAACTGGTGGTGAATGGAAAACTGCAGTGGCATGTTGTAGCTTGGGCCAATGTGTGGTTTTTACGCTTGAGGAACGTGCCATTCAGTTAAAAGCAGAAATCCTTTCAGGAGCATCATGACTGGCATTAAAAAAAAAAAAAAGGGAAGAAAAAGCCCAATGCAGTGAAGTTACGGGTTTTCCACAGAAAGTGTGATGATTTAGCTGCCTGGCAGGAGTGGGAATCCCTCCTGACAGGCAGAGTACTCAAAAACCCCCCATGTCTGTCTTCATGTCTTCAGTTCAAATGCTTGGTACCATCCGAACCTTGAATCTTTCCATGTAAATGTCGTCGTTTTCATGGTCTGGAATGCTTGTGTGTGTAAAGGTAATTTTGTGACTAATGCCACCGGGAGGCCTTGCCTGCTGGCTGAGTTGCATAATGAGACGTGGTTGAGGTGTCATGTTTTTTGTGGGTTTGTTTTTTTTTTTTTGAAGTAGTTCAAATACTGGAGGTGGCACAAAAGCTTCAAGTGGTGTTTTTAGTACCAAAAGTGATGCGTGTTATGTTTAGCTTTGGGCAAGTTTTCAGAAAGGAAGTCCTGACGCTATTAATAACGTAACAGGAAATGTGTCTCCGAGCAGTGTACTCCTCCAACCCTGAAAAGCCTCTTTCTCTCTCCCTCTCTGTCTCACCTCTAGAGCGCCAGCTTACAGAGGCCTGTTATTCCCACAGAATTTGGTGCTAAAGTCCCAACAAACATTCGTCAAAGATATCTCAATCTCTTCATCGATGAGTGCCTGAAATTCTGCTCCTCCTCCCAGGAAGCGTTTGACAAGGTCGGTACCGATGGCTGCTCCTTAGCAATAAAACCCGCAGCAGAGAATAACGTCCTCTGCCTTGGCTAAAATGGCAGCAAACCCAGAAAACTCTCACAACCACGTACAATTCTGTAGAGGAAACTGGCGTGAAATAATTCCCGACTGGACACCAGGAAATGTAATTCCAGCGGGGAGAACCAGTTTTCATTTGGGGAGTGTGCACGATCTTTTTAATAACCCCAGAAGAGGGACGTAGGGGAATGTGTGTGATGGTCAAGCTGGGCAAAAAGGCTTTTTGCTCATGTACAGCAGCAACCACCTCCTGGGATGTAAGTGTCCAGCAGAGGTAAGTGTTTGAGGGGGATGTAATTGGTGAAACTCGCTGCGGATGACCTGCGAGGCTTTTAAGGAACCTCTGAGCGGTAGGGAGTCATACAGTAGGAGTTCCAAAAGCAAAATTGAGAAACTAATGTGTTTTTATCGGAAAGCTTTGGCCATTAACGTTAGTTGGGTGAATGTAGGACGTTGTGTGCTGTGTTTTGTAACAAAGCAGATGCCACGAGGTTTTTTATTGTGGGATTTCACCTTCACAGCTCCCTAGGGGTGATGTTCCCAGTGCATCCCAAGAGTGACCGTTTGCCAAACTTCCTTCTCTTGCCAGTTAAGATCTTGCACTGCCGCTGAAGTGAGGAAGAGAGCCTTTCCCAGGCAGTTCTAGAACTGTTTTGTTAATCTGTCGGGGAAGGTTTCACATGAAAATGCTTCTTCCAGCACTTTGTTTAAAATACAGCTTATATTTTTTATCTCTTACTTACCTAAGCAGACCCCAGAAGCAGCGTGTATTTGTGCCGTGTTCCACTTTATCACTCCGTTCCTTGACAGGCAATTTAATTCAATTTTTTTTTTTTTTTGGCTCTTAAAACACAGGATCCTTTTTTTTTTTCTCCAAAAGCGGTAGTGGAAAGAGAGCATGTGGTAATGAATTGCCTTGTTTGCAGGCTCTGTCAGAAGAGAAGGTGGCTTATGAACGTAGCACCAGTCGCAACATCTACCTGAACGTGGCAGTGAACACCTTAAAGAAGCTCCGAAGCCTAGTGCCCAATTCCCCGACCAGTACGAACAGTACGTACCACGTTTGTGGTTTTAATAATCGGAGCCCTGCTTGGATTAGAAGCCACAGAAAGAAACTTGTTGAAAGACAGCCCCATTTCTCAGAAGCATTATGCTGAAAGGCAAACAACTCCAGTTAGCTTTTTATAGCCTGGCAAGCTTTAATGGGCCTTCAAGAGGCAAGTCCTGCAATGCTTTGTTGGCTGTCTGAACCTAAATGGAGATAATGCCACATGGATTTTTTTTTAGCACAGGTTCTTTAAAATGAAAAGCCCCGCTAATGGAGTAACTTTCACATGATGCCTTCAAAGTGATAGACTCGTCCATCACCGCAGAAATCTGTTACACACATTAAGCTTCAAGAGAGAAACGAAGAGGGTTAAGACATTTCATTATTGGCTCTCGAGAGGGTACATTAAACAATCAATTTGTGCTGTTCTTGTGAATTTTTTTTTTTTCCCCCCGGTCTCTTCCCTTTTCTCCCCTCTGTCTTCATTACCTTCGTGGCCATTAGTCAGAGCGGCTGAACTGGGGAGGCTGGCCTTTAGGAGAGGGCTGCCAGTTAATGATTAGTAAAAAGCACCTGTGTGCCATTATCCGACGCGCCGAGCGTTGTTCTAGAGCTCTGAAGCGCCTTTCTAAAAGAAGTTGAAAGATTCGGCGTGGGAGCAGGGTCCGCAGGGACCGAACAACAAAGGCGCTCGCTGTGGGTGGGTGATGCCACCGCGCAGCACGTGAGTCAGGTCGAGGCACTTCGGCGCAGAGTCCTCTCCTGCTTTTGGTCAGTAGGAGACCAAGCAGGTCAGTAGCAGAGCAAGCAGGTAGAGGTACCGGAGTTTCCAGAGGAACTGCAAAAATGGCCTTGCTGCCCTTAAAAATAAAGTTGCCTTGAGCTGGAAGTGCAAACAGAAAGTTTCCGGTAGTGCTGGAAGGAAAATGCTTAGGCTGCCAGCTTACACGTGCCAATTTCTGGAGCAGAGCAAGAACTCAGGAGGATAAGTGCAGGCTTCCTTTTGCTGCTGTGTAGTGCCCCAAAGCCTGGGACTGGAATCGCGTGCTCGGCTGGGTACCTCACCTCTGTCCTGTTTTGCTTCTTCCCTCTTCTCACTGCAGAGACAAACAACAAGAAAGTGGTGTCCCACGAAGCTGTGCTGGGAGGGAAGCTTGCTGCTAAGACAAGCTTTACGCTAAACCGGTCAGGGAGCTTGAGAGCAGAGGATTTGACAGGTAAGATCTCACTCCTGTGAGGCTGGAACCTGTAAGTTGCAGCTGGAGATGTAACACATCTGGGGAGAGCAGGATCTGACTGATGCGTGAATTCATAGAATCATAGAACAGTTTTGGTTGGAAAGGACCTTCAAGATCATCGAGTCCAGCCTTTGTCCCAGCCCTTTCAACACCACTGAACTGTGTCCCTCAGCACAACATCCACCTCTTTCTTAAACCCCTCCAGGGATGGCAAGTCAACCTCCTTGCTGGGCAGCCTGTTCCAGTGCCCGACAACTCTTTCAGTAAAGAAATTCTTCCTCATATCCAACCTGAACCTCTTCTGGTGCAACTTAAGGTTGTGCCAGGTTGTGGAATCTCCTCTGGAGACTTTCCAACCCACCTGGACGCGTTCCTGTTAGTTAGAACATAGGAGGTTCCACTTCAACATGAGGAGAAACGTGTTGGCTGTGCG